ACACATAAATATGAAGCAACATGTTTGTACCCAATAACCAACTGTAACGCCAGAAATGGTTGGGTGGCAATGGGCCTCAAAGTGGACCAACATAGATGCATTCAATATTGCATAGCCCTAGGCAGAAACCGAAGGCTTAATGCGTTCACCAACGTCTAGGCAATCATTGAAATTTCACTTTATGATCACTTTGCAAGGCTGTTTTGGGATGAACATAGGAATTTGATGTTCAATTATAAACCCAAAAGACGTGCAGTACTTATCGAAAACCATCAATATAAACTCTTCACCATTATTTAGTCTTCCAGACTTTATGGACTAATTAAGGTGGTGAACCCTTATAGTTGGCCAGGAGATTTGGCAGCAATGTGTATGGACAAATATGCGACAAGTTTGTCAATTCATCAACCAAAGCCATAAGTATTTATATGGTCCGCATTTTGGTCGGATTAGTCCACATATATTCCCTTGAATCCACTGTGAAAAGAGGGTCGTTTCATATCTTTGCTAGGATAATTTAAAAAATCAATTTTCCTAACGAGCAAGCTTGGCAAAGTGTGCTTGTAGGCACAAGATCCTTACTTCGAGTAAGGAGATGCGTCGTGGCATCATTGTTCAACCAAAATGTTTGTTGTGCCAAAGCAAGTAAACTGCTCGAATAACCCGGCTCCAAGCCAGCCACACATGGTGTGTTCCCAGTTGAGAGATAGCCCATTGGCCCCAAAGCAAAGCTTCAAGCTCATTTTTAGAGGTGGTACAAAGATATTCAACTCTATTTTCTTCAATAGTTTCATTTATGATGGTTATCATCTTGAATATCCTTAAAACTCAACGACGTTCTTTCAGAATGAAAAGAATATAAGGTCTCTTAAATGGTAATTTAGTACCATTCATACAATGAGGAGCGTGCCAATGCTTTTAATCAGGTTCGATATACCTGAATTCGTTGCTAGAGATGTGATTTAAGTATAAAGTTAGTGTGCGTAGTATCGTATTCATCCAGACAACTAACTTTCCCACATTCGTACCTAATCCCAAGTTTAATTGAATTTGGTCACATGTATACAAGAAACATGATTCAATTAACTCATATTCGAGAACAATATCGATAAAATTATCCATAACTAAAAGAAACACCAAAGTTGAATCCAAGAACATAGAAAAATGTTCACAAAGTAAACCAAAGTTACTAAGGGGATTCAGCAAACATGACCATTCATGTCAAAATTCTCTTCTTCCAATGGTGTTCGGTGGAGCAAAATTAGTCTCACATATTGACTACTAGAATGGTACTTCTCAATGACATTGGTAGGGGCACACATAGGTGCTTAACCAATGATTTATTTCATCGAGGTAGAAGTAGATTCTGCAGGGTTGAGGTTTGGGAATAATATCCCTTATTATTGAAGTTTTAAGTCTTAGATGCCAAGGATCACACTTTGCGTGTGATGCCACACTTTGGCAGCCCTTGATTCTACCATACGTTGTAAAAACAAACCTTAAAGTAGGTGAAAAAGAGACAAACAGACCCAGACTTAGGTTTGGTAGGCTCCAGGCAAAGTTGGAGAGGTCTATTCGGTAGGCCTCTGCCGAATCAGAGCAATACCGTTCGATGGGCCCTAGTCGAAAATGGGAATCACCATTCGGTATGCCTTGACCGAACTGGGTAGAGCCATTTGGTAAACTCCAGCCGAGCTGAGTCTATGCCGTTTGGTAGACTCCAACCGAAGTTGGGTCTATACCTTTTTCTCACATTTATGGTAGTAATCAGATTCATGAATGTGGTAAACTTTCGCTCTCTACACTATTGCTTCAAGAAAGAGTTAGAAACATGGAAAGACGAGAAAAGTATTCTCTAGTCAAAATTCGATCAGATTTATAAACTTCATAATCGTACTTATTCATGGACGTAATCATGGTGTGCTTCAGGCAATATCTTTCACGATTAAACGGTCCGTAAAAGCAAGCCAAAGAGCCATGGAATCCTCATTCAAGAGGTATTTCCGTTGGTTATGCTTCGGGCATAAGTCTTCGTATGAAGATCATGGCGGAGGCTTATTCAGCTCTTCCATGTCATTGTTAGCTACACTGGCTTCTCAACTTCTTGATAGTCAAGTGAAGATTCACGTCTTGTACTCCACATAAAGTGGTTTCTATTAGAAATGTCCACATCAGTGAAATTGAACTTGTTACGGTTCGACAATCCACTGAATGGAGGGAACAAAATTGTGATTGGTGTTATGGAAAATAAAATATCCATAAGCATCAAAGTTAGAACATTCATGTTCTAAGACATGGTTTACATGAAAAATTCGAGTTTTCATGGGGGTATTATTTTATGAAAACTAGGGGTTTCAAAGGCACTAAATTCGAAACTACAAGTTCGCGTTTAGTTATGAATCTTATGGTTCATAAAATGAGGTACCTGTAAGAACACATAATACAATATACAACTAAGTGTAGTGGATTTGGGTTGCTTTAGGAACTCAAGTGTGAGTGCTTACAAAAAGGAATCAGCGTTCAAAGAAAAGAAATAAAATATTGAATCGTTAATGTCCAAAAGTGGGCTTTAGGCCAATAATTTTGGATGTCTTGTCAGATTAGTGGACTGTTGATCACTTTAATTAATTCAATAAATCGAGACCATTCGGGGTCGATTGTAGAAGTAAAATATATAAAGATTCAAGCCTATGCATAGAAGTCATGTTGGCTGCAGGCCAATTAGAAGGCAGCCCAAAAAAATTTGGGCTCAAATCTGCTGTGGGCAGCCCCAGCCTAAGCAGGGTTGAGGCCCAAATCAAAAGGGAAGCCCAATTGGACTTGGTCTATGAGCCGCTATGGTGGCGACAATATCAATCTAAAACTAAGGTCGGAATCCTTAGAAACATCGATGGGAAAACAATCGTGATGTCGGATAGGTCCAAAAACCTCAAATATTCTTTGGGAATCTTTCAAATCTGTTCGAAGACAAAAATCTACCCACGAAGACAACTACAGGTCGTTGAGTTTTGTGAAAATAATTTATCCATGAACAACTTAAAGAAGTCAGAGATCAAAGGTCTCGTCGGGAAAATCACAAAGCGGAAAGATTGAACAACGTCGTTCAACATGTGCATCTGGGTTATAAGATAGAGTTAGCTTGCCTCAGCTCAGTGGATTGGCTTGACCTTGGCACGAGCGTGTGGCTTCAGTGACTGGCTTGGCTTGGCAACGCAGCTGCAAGCCGCGAAGCAGCCAAGTTTTCCCTTTTTTTTTCTTTTCAATTTTTCTGATTTCTATTATTTAGGGTTTTTAGAACCCCAAAAATTAATAAAAAAAATCATGCTTCTATTTTATTTAGATTCTTTGACTCGCAAATTCCACATAGCTAATTTATAATTGCGTAATGCGTGAACATGTGTGTGTGTGTGTGTGTGTGTGTGTGTGTGTGTATCGGAAGGAAAATATAAATGTAGGGGGTTCATGCATCATGAGAAATGTTTTCATGTTTCACAGTCGTTTCAAATATCTTAATTTATTTTAAAAGAACCTGATTGGCAGAAAACAATTGAGCCTTTGAATTTGTAGAAGATCCTTCTCAGAAAGCTAAAACTGCATCTCCAATGCATTGTATCACATTCAACAAAGAAAAATTAAATCGAATCAATAACATGTAGATCAATTCAATAAAAGAATAAATTAATCATAAAAAGAATGATTGAAGATCAAACTCTCTGTAACGCAACGTCAAGAGCGTGCTGATAACGTGTTGTAGGGCTAATTTACTGAATCATATAAAGGATAGAGAGAGGGGTGCGGCACATAGAGAGATAAGAAATAGATGTGTAATTGTAAGGTGTGTGTTATCTCACCACATTGTGCCTTTATTTATAGTAGTAGGGAAGGTTAAATCCTTACCATTACAACTCTAATAGGACAATATCTAGTCTAAGAGATATGGTAGAATCCTATAAGGATATCCTAGATATATTAGGATTTACATAATCACATTCCTAATCTAATAAGACCGCAACAGAAAATAGTTTTTTCATTTTAATTTTACTGAAATCGAATTCTCTTTTTGTTGGCCGAATTCTTTTGGCCATAGTTTTTACATTTTAATTTTCACTAATTTTTAGCTATGGCTCCTAAAATTCGATTGTAATCTTATTTTGCTTTATGTAACTCAAAAGTTATCACTTTACTCCCTAAAACTCAAAGTTCGCTCCACTTCAACCCCTGGAACTCGATTTTGATCCCACTTTGGCCCCTGAAACTTGAAAATCATCTCTATAAAACTCGAAATTCATTCCATACTGCCTTAGATTTGTTAATTTCTTATGTGAATTTGATTTGAATGCTGTAGACTAATCAATTTCTATTTTATCTTTTTCATCTCTTTAATTCTTTTAAACAAAATATTCTATGATTGTTAAATGTTACGCATAATGGAGATTATAGTCAAATTGTTTATATGTTTCGTGATGGGCTTTAGTTGTTTTTGTATTTTGTTTCTCCTTAAAATGTTTAAAAACTAGTGAAATTGTTTAAAATATATTATATATTTGTCTTTATATGTAAGACTCTCTAATTGAACCAATTCATCTAGCTATAAAAAATAATATACGTGCATTAATAATGAGACATATGAACCATATTATTCCCGTAAGATGTGAAATGTTAAAATACGTTACTTATGTTCCCAATTCTCTCTATTGAAAATTTGAAATAAGACATCCTTAAAAATAAACTGTAGAGTACATTAACCCTAAATTATAGGAAACTTTAACGAAAAGTTTCCGATACTGTTCACTTTAACGAAAAACCATATTTGTATACTAAAAAATCAATCCTGCTATTATTCACTTTACCTTTTATTTTGTCATTATAGTTAAAACTCAAAGTTTTCAAAATCCTTTCATTAATTTTTCTTAAATTACACGTGTGATCCACATTTATTTTCTAATGAGTGGGTGAGTCTGTGTTGAGCAACGTGGCCCAATATGCAGCGGTGGTGACTAGTATCAGCCCATCTCCTCTCTCTCTCTCTCTCTCTCTGTGAAAAGTCGCACCCCCGCCAGTGCCCGTGCCTGAGTGGCATCCTTTCTCGTCGTGGCAATGGAAGCCTCAGTTTCTTCCTCGATACTCATGAAAAATCCAAGCATTTCCAACAGCAATCTATTGTTTGAAAGCAGAAACATTGCAAAGTGTGCAAGCTTTACCAGAAAACCACAGAACCTTGCTATACAAAAACCAAGCACAAAAGCTTGGAGGATTGCAGCAATCGACGATGTTTCAGCTGTAGCTGATCCGACCCCGGTCGTCATCACCTGGCAAATTGTTGTCGGAGCTATAGGTATGTATATATGTGTGTGTGTGTGTGTGTGTGTGTGTGTGTGTGTGTGTTTATTCTTACGTCTTATACAAGTGCTTTATTACTTTTAGTGCTTTAAATTTTGTTAATATTTTTGCAGCTGGAGTTGCACCTTTTGTGGTCGCTGGAATTGAATTCAGCAAAAGAATAGTAAGTTCAGGAATATTACATGAATTCATGTACAAAAATGAGTTTATTATCCAATAAATCATATGTTATTAAGTGAAAATATGTTATTGATTATGATTTATGCAAATGTGGTATTGGTAGATCGCACAGAAAAGATGCGAGGTATGCAGAGGGTCAGGACTTGTTTTGACCAAAGACAACTATGTGAAATGTCCTGAATGTGGTATGCTTCATACTCCATTGATTTGCTTCTATATATTATCAAGGGACCGAAATTCTATATAGGTTCTTTTATTTTTGGGATGTGATTTTCCGGTTTTCTCCTCTTGCGTCCTTTCTCTTGTCTCCGTCTTTTTATTCTTTTTTAAGTTATTCAATCCAAAAGTTAAAAGAAAAAAAATGAAGCGTAGGAGAAGAAAAGGGATGTGCAAATATTTTTACTCTTATTCTTCTTGGACTGAAAATTTAGTGGTTTTTTTGTAAGTTAATTTATTTCCTTTTTGTTTTTGAATTCTTCTTTCAGGTGGATTTCTCCCTTGGCAATCATGGAAAAGATTCTTTTCTGGCTAAGATCCAATAATTTTTAGCATTAACACATTTTCTATAAGTTCGATGGAGGACGTTTGATCCAATTTTATGATGCAACTATTGAAGCATAAGTTGCTTTGTACATGTTGGTGTGTGATTTCGTGGGATAAGACAGCAATGTGAAAGCTTGTAGAATTTGCAGGGGAAAGATCACAATCTGCCAGGCAGAATGGGATCTGTGAACAATGTTTTGTGCCTGTATGCTTGCAGTGCATTGAGCAACTGTTATATAAACAGGTCAATTCCTAAGCCCATGTTCGATGATTTAGGGTACATTATCGTATAGTTTGTTTAAAAAAAATAAAAATAAAAAATTAGGCAATCCAAATACAATTCTGAGCCTATTTGACAAGAAATAAAACATCCAGAAGAATCCCCTTGCTAGTCATAATTTTTTTAGCTCACATTACAAATAAGCTGGTCACTTCATGAAAGCAGAAGGACTCATGAACTACATTATGTCGGAATTTGTAGGGTGGAATATAAATTTTACAAACTCTCTTTAAGATCTTTAATCCTAAGGTTGATGTATTCACTTATATGAGATAGAAACTATACACCTTTTGGGGCACCACCTTTATTTTCATCAAGCTTGGTCGCCCTAAGGTAGGGCCTTCTTCCTTTCCATGCATGCTCCATCTCCAAAGATCGAGAACACCCTTTGTAGATTTCGGTTGCACCTAGCAATCATATGAGTAGATTGTCTACGCACTCTGTTTCCAACAAAGATCAAACCGCGTAGTTCACCTTTAGAACTAAGGTGAAAATGGAGAAGGATGGTTTTGGTGGTGGTAGTGTTTTCTCTCTTCTAGAGAGAGAGAGAAAAAAACTCACTGAAAATATTAATTTTTTCTATTTGGTTATAGAGGATGACCAGTACTTGTCTTTCTTCTAAGGATGTGTGGAAGACAAAGCTCTTACACATGCATGTGTGTCAAGAAGGCCTTGAACTTCTTGTAAAAGTTTCACATCTTTCCACTCTTTCTCTACACACTACCACATAAAGGCAAACTTGAATTTATCATCACTTTTCATGTCACATCCTTTCAAAATGAGTAATGAGCCATCATTACCCATTTTGGACCATTAATGCACTCCAAATCATCTAGGAACTTGTAACAATCCCAATGGGTTTGGGCCTATGGACCTACCAACTCTTAAAAGTATTTCGATGCCCACTTTAGACATATAACAACCACTATAATTAATTAAACAGTTTAATTAATTATTTAACCAAACTAATTAATCTAATTAATTATTTCCATCACCTTAATCCTAGAATAGAGTGTGCGATCTTTTTAAGTTCTTATTAATGATTTTTATTTTTTAATACAACAATATATTTTACACTAGGGGGAGGGGGGGAGTTCGCCTAAACCACATAATGGACAACCTAATTTAGTATCAAATTCGTCATCTATGAGATTCAAACCCAAGACCTCTCACTAACAAGTGAAGAGGAATACCACCAGACTAAGTGACGGTTATGAGATGAATTAGACTCTTTAATTATTTTACCAAGTTTAAAACTCACCTTTGAATCCACCTTTTTGTGAAGACAACAATTATCGTCTTTGAGGATCGCATAGACCATGTCAAGCGCCTGGTCGCATGTCATGTTCTCCTAGTCAATGTACTATATACGGGATAACATATTTAGTTCCAAATTACAATGCAATACAGTCATTTTCTAATACAATTCTCTCGAATACTGTTCAGGCTATTTCATGTCAAGTGCCTAAACGACCAACTCATGATTCAACTGGATAGATTTGAAACTTCATTCCAAATCACAACTTTTTTGCCAAAGACTTCTAATCCATGTCGATGAGCATTCTCCTTCAATTGTGAAGGTTAGAGATTCATTTTTGTACATTCACTGGCCTCCTTGATTAGGTAGTTTAGCCCCAACAATGTCGTGGACACCCTCTCACATCAGAGTGCCTTTAATATAATCAAAGATTAAGGACCTAACCACAAGACAATTGTGATACCTCGGATCAAAGGACTAATTTGCAATATTACAACGATCGAGCTGCTATTACATGACCATGTATCTAGCATGCATACATAAGATCTCGAGGAAATCACGTTCAATGAACTTAATCTTTATTAACACATACACATTTGTCTTAGTGACTCTCACTAATGGCTTAGACTAGCCATGCATCCCGTCTTACAATGTGCAGAATAATGTCTACCAGTTTTACCGGATTAGAAGATATCCACTAGAATAATCCAACGAACAAGAACAATGTTTATCATAAACACATATTAAAAGGGTCTCTTTAACGTTATCTCATAACTTACCTCTTACATATGTTTATAATCATTATCCATGCACTCACTAGTGAGATCGCCTTGAAAATCTACCTACAGTGATCTTGCCAATGATTAGATTATGAACTAATCCCTAAATTACCTAAAGCAATCCACTAACCTTGATTGCTTTTACGGTATACATCCTACACATTGGGCACCATGAAAGTACAATAGATACCAAAAGTTCTTGGCTAAGATCTCACACTACTAGAATTTTGAACTTAATACTAGAGTTAAACTTAAAAGCTTCCACTTATAAGTATGGAAGAATGCTAAAAGACCGTAGTGCTAAATAACTTTAACTGACCTATGTTAAAAAAAAAAAAAATGTCCATCAACCTATACGGAAATATTAAAAATTATTTATTGACCCAAACTAAATGTTTGTAATATAATACTAACAACAACCAACACTTTCAATTTCACCTACATATTTCCATTGATCCAAATTAGCTTCCATTCACTTATAATAATAATATGTCACATCTATGTGAAATAATTGAGGAGAACAAATTTCACACCAATAAGAATTACAACTAGATTCATGCAACTAAGAAAAGAACATACAAGTTAAACTATGTCACACCGATGTAGTAAGTGTCAAGAGCTCTCTGATACTGTAGTATTGGAATCCTTGGAGTTTCCAACAACTAAAAAGTATTATTAAACTAAGGAATTGCTACAGCTAGTATAATGCATTTGTCCTTGAAATCTAAGACTTCCTTTATCTCCGAGTGAGAGTTTTTCTCTCCTATTGAGAGTCTTTCTCACCTTCTGGTGTGAGTCTTCAAAAATCGAGAAATCCCGATGGTATCGACCCTAGCCTTAACCGGGGTCAATCATTGTTCCCTCCCTTCTCTTTTTCTCTCCTCTGCTCTTCACTTCTACTGCTCTCTCTCCATGCTTTCTACCCCGATCCTGTCTATCCCTCTTGCTCAGTTGGTATCCCTCATCTTTGTTCATCAAATTTTTTATTTTCAGCCATGAATATCGTTGAGATCGTGTGTAGAGCTTCGGTGTTTTCACCGGCTTGGGTGTTTTCAACATCACCACCTTCTCCTGGTTATTTGCTTTTACCGGCAGCGTTGTTTGTGGGCTTCCATGAACTTCATCCCAATAGTTGGCTGCCTTCGTTCAGGTGTTGGCTATCTTTTCTTTGTGGCTGTGCTCGTGAAGCTAATCGGAATTGGATGAAACGTCTGAAAAGACGATATTCGATTGTGGATGAGGATTTGGACGGATCGAGGTTTACTGTGTGGCGACGATGGATGTAGTGGATGGTTCTAAAATCTATAATTTTGTTTGTGTGTTTGGGCTTCAACAGTTGGTTGGTCCCGTTGTCCTCTGTTTGTCTTGGCCTACTTTTTGCTTGTCCGTATGTTAGCTTTGGGCCTTTGGTTGTATTTTTGTTTGCTTCTAGTTAGTAATAAAAGTGGCACTTTGACCCAAAAAAAAAAAAAAAAAAAAGGCAAAAAAGGGAAAAAAAAAAGTATTATTAAACTTTATCATGGGTGCTAAAAGTCCCCATTATGATTAGCTTTTCTCCTTTTAATTTGGAGGTCTAATTCGCTGACTTTGGAGGATTCATTTAGGGTACAAAAGCTTCCTTTCCCTCGTGAGAGACTCTCTCTATCTGAGAGTCATTTCTCATTGGTTGTGTGAGTGGACCCCATCTCAACAAATTCCAGAGCTGTCGACCCTAGCTATGGCTAGGGGCAGTGGCAGTCATTTCCTCCTGCCCTTTGTCTCCTCTTTTCTTTCCTGATTTTGCTTTATCCCCCTGCTCCCCACCCCGATTTGGCTTGTCCTTCACACCACAATGGCGTTCATCATCTTCGACCATCTCCACTTCGTTCTGTAGTCACTGTTTCATCGAGAGAGTGTGTTGAGTTTCAATGTTCCCACCAACTCGAGTGTTCACAACACCACCACTTTCTATGGTTGCTGGCTTTGTCGGTAGCGTTGCTTGGGTATTGTGACGAGCTTCTTCCACTTTGTGATTGGTTTTTTCCTTTGTGGCTGTGTTCGAAAAGTTGCTTGCAGCTGGTTGATGCGATTAGAGAGGCGTTCGTCGACTGGAGGCGTGAAAGCTTGCAGATCGTGTTGGTTCACTGTAGTAGAGGCAATGGAAGTAGAAGACTAAGGTTTCTTTTGCAAGTTTCTGGTTTGGGCCTAAATTCTTATTTAGGCTTTTTTTGTTGAACTTTATTGGTCCAATTTTGCTTGTACTTCTTTGACTTTGACTTTGTTGTTTAAACTTGAGTTGTTGGTAATGGAATTGTTTACCTTTGTACCAAAAAAGATAATATTGGCTGACTTTGAATAGCCGAACATTCTTCCAAACCCTCAACTTCAAATAATATTCGCTGACTTTGCTAGATCTTGTACATTTGTCAAAATATATCACCTTCACATATTCTAGTTCTATCAATTTCTAATAAAAGGTCCAAAATTATGTGCTGGTGTTGTTTTTGATTAATTAGTCTGACTTTTTGATCTAGCAAACTAGAAAATGACGGTAGCTACCTAACCATGACCACATTTTTCATTCTTTAATATGTGCATGATATATAATAAGAACAATCTCACTCAAATTTACGGGAACACACATGATCATAACCAAAATAGGGATTTTTTGTGAGGGTTAGAGGTCTATTATCTTTTACATTGACGCGTGTAAGGAAGTGAGGGATCCTAAAATGATTATTTTTGTAATTTTATTTTAATTTTTTTAAATGGTTAAATACGAATAATTGCGCACCTTTAGGGGTGATTGTCACATCCCGACCCGGGCGGGACCACTTCCCGGGCCCGCTCCACCACTGTAGCACGATATTGTCCGCTTTGGACCCCGACTACGCCCTCACGGTTTTGTTTCTGGGAACTCACACGAGAACTTCCCAATAGGTCACCCATCCTTGGAATGC